GGCGTTTCTTCTCGATGGGAAGTTATCCGTCGTTATTCTTACAGTTCTTGACTTATAAATTGTCCCGAAAAATATGCCTCGTTAAAAAAAAAGAACAAGTTGGACAGAGACAGAAGATTCCTATTCTTTCAGCAATCTTGTGTGTCGTCAAATTATATACTCAAGACTTGGATTTTTGAGAAAAAATTGCTTATTAAAAAGTTGTTAAGGCTGGCTTTTTATCAGTATAATAATTGGTTTTCTGTTTTATTATGTCACAGGGTCTATATACGGTGCCCTTCAATTCTTTTCCAGTCCTGTCATGGTAAGAGTTTTGTCTACATTATTATTATTATTATTATTATTATTATTAAAATAAGTCTTCACAAAAAATTGTAAACTGCTGCAAGCAGTTTGTTAAGTCCCCTGAAAAACATTGTTAAGTGCTTAGAGGCTTGTAATAAGTGATATATAAATTGTAATTCATTATTATTATAATTTATTGTTATATGCATAAAGTCAGGCAACACTTTCACAAAGTATACTTAAAAACAAGATTATGAGCCTATTTTTTTTTATGTGACAGTTGATATGGGTGAAGTCCAAATTGACCAAGGGGGGCATAGATATCTAGAGAGCATACTATGTAATTGTTACAATTTGTATATATTTACTTGTTGTTCAAAACTCAGTATCAAGACCTGGGGTGGATCCAGGGGTGGTTCGGGTGGTTCGGTCGAACCCCCTAAATTTTCCCTGAGAACGCTGGAAATCATGTTTCCGAAGACCTAATTTTCAAAATCTTGGACCCCTCAGGAGGAGAACAACTCTCCAAACCCCCTCCAAACCCCCCTTGACTAAATCCTGGATCCACCCCAGAAGACAGGCTCAGGCGTTGACTGTATTTATTTACAATCTCACACTGGTAGCCTACTCACTTCACCTACCAAGCATTACAGAATTCATAGTGAGAAGCATGAAGCTGATTAGATTACAAGATTTTTGATATTACCCTGTTGGGGAGGGAAGGACATTTGGTTAACTTGTGCTTGGTGTGTACCCGCATGTTATAGTTTATTCTTTGGCCGGTTAAACACCCTATCTTAGTCACTTTTAGGCAAATGTAATTTCTGTTATCCCAACTTAGTAACATGGGAGTCTTGTGCTGAGACTGTCTGTCATCAGCAGTAATGATTGATGTTTCAAACACAATGGAAGTCATCATTGATAACACTCCTAAAATGTTTCCTTTGTGTTCAAACCTTTTATGATAGATCACAAATAAATTTACACTGACATGGAATGCACAAAGATTTGCTCCTATTTTCACAATGTGGGCAGGCCTTGACTAAAGTAATATACTGTGTGACATAAAATACCATGGCTAACATAATTAATATGGCAGACTAGATTTTGAATGACTTTGAATCAGCTTTGAATTATTACTGAACTTGAAGTTAATGTACATGTATATTAGTGGTACACTTTTTCCTATTCGTAGGGCAAACTGAGTGATATATTTGGAAGAAAAAAATGTTCTTTTGATTAGCCTCTTTGGTGCAGCTGTAGGTTATAATCTGACAGGAATTCCAACAACATTACTTTTTCTAGCACTGAGCAGAGTTCCAGTAGGTGAGATCCTTTTTTTATCTGGTTTATAAGTATGGAATGAGTCCAGCTGTTCAATGCTTGTCAATTTTTACTGTTTACTGCAATCCATAGCTCCTGCAGAGGAGAGTGGGCATTAACATTAAATTGATATAAATCTAGTCTAGAATCCTAGTAGTGTAGTGTTTGGGAACATGCTTGGGTCATTTTTGTTGCACTACTTAAGATAAACTTGTATTGTTTGTTTTCAGGGATTTTCAAGCACAGTCAAAGTGTTGCAAAGACATATCTTTCAGATGTCTCACCCTCTATTGATCATCCTAAAGTGTTTGGGAACTTTAATGCATTTTCCAGTCTAGGTTTTGTAATTGGTCCTTTGATAGGTGGACACTTGGCCATGCAGTCAAATGGTTTCTCTAGGGTGACTGCCTTAACTGGATGCATTTT